TCATTGAGATCCTGTTAGGATTCCAGGGATTAATAGATATAAGCTGCTCAGGGCAGTCCCTGGAGCTTTGTAAGCCCTCAGGGAAGGGGAGCTGGTTTGCTGTCCTTGCCTTCATCATCTATGATGTCATACATGAGGAAATGGACTAGAGTCCACCAGATCTGCTGTGTTCTGGCCCTGGATTTTTCTTTTTTTTTTTCTACACAAACCCACTCCAGCAGGCATGAATTTAATCCAAATAATGACTTGGGAATGCCACTTTGTAAACCTCTGGCGTTTTCTCTGTTATCGCAAAGTACATAGTTTAATTAAGGCTTACTGTTTTCTGAAGCTGATGTCTCGCTAAAGCAAAGAAGAATTAACAATTCTAAATGAAGTCTTTCTAAATTCATGTAAAAGGGACTTCACTGGTGGTGGTTCGGGGGTTAAGAAGCCAGCTCTCAATGCAGGGACCACAGGGTCGATCCCTGATTAGGGAACCAAGAGCCCGTGTTCCTCAGAGCAGTGTAAGCCCACACACCACAACTACCGACTGAGCCCTCAAGCCACGACTAGAGTCCACGTGCCACAACAATAGATCCTGTGTGATGCAATTAAGAGCTGACACAGCCAAATAAATAATTTTTTTATTTTAAATCCATGTAAAGAAAATGAGTGCACATGAGCAGGAAAACTAAAAGAGCTAGTCAATTCAAGGAGAAACTGACCATATATTTTAGTGCATGTTAATACGACCTGTAAGTGACTATGAATTTTTAATGCAAGAAACGAACACTTCTGCCTTTCTGTCTGCTGACACTGACTTCTGCCCCGCTCCTGGAGGACAGCAGGCTTCCCCTAGCCAACACCTCGAATCTCCAAGGAGAGGCTTTTTGAAGAAGCAGTACCACTCCCTGAGGTGTGAAGGTTTCTCCCACAAAATGACTTCTACTTAGGGAGGAATTTTTCAACCCATTAATGATGATGTGTGTGTACGACTTAAATAGTTGCCTGGATGTTAGCCAACCACAACTCCCGGAGTTGGAAACCGAAGACAAGAAGAGCTTTTCATCTTCATTTTACCGAGTGTGTGACGCTGGCAGACCTCTGCACACCCCTGTTCACACTCCTCAGAATAGTGACAAAGATACGAGGACTTTTTTTTCAGTGCAGGTTATTTTGTGGTTTTTGGGCTGCCTTGTGGCTTAGAGGTAAGGAATCCACCCGCCTAGCAGGAGGCACAGGTTTGATCCCTAGGTCGGCAAGATTCCCTGGGTTGGCAAGATCCCCTGGAGAAGGAGATGGCAACCCACTGAAGTATTCTTGCCTGGAGAATCCCATGGACTGAGGAGCCTGGTGGGCTATACAGTCCATGGGGTTGCAGAAGAATGGGACATGAGTCAGCGCCTAAACAACAACATGATCTTTAATTAATTTGTATATTTGAACACATATGGAGACATTGGTATGACAGCCAGGATGCTCCCCTAGGTTTAATGGCGAGTCCCATGTCCCTGAATTCTTCAGTTCCCTTGGAATGTCTCCCCACTGTCCAGGTAGAACTAGTGTGTCTTGATCAGATCAAGGGCACATACACCCTTGATTTTGATCTGTTTCTCAGAAAACAGTTTCCTGTCTGCTTTCTGGCTTCCAGGGCTGAGGTATTTTGAACGGACCTCTGGGCTTAGCTTTGAGGACTGTCCCACAACGGCGACAAAGAACTCACCGAGTCCCCTTAGGTCCCTGTCCTAAGGCGCACCTGCTGGAAGGTGGCGTCTGCTTTTGATGCTCTAACAGGACGTGGTGACTAACTGTTGCTCGTAGTTCAAGATTCTTCTGGAGCAATTAATGGTACTAAAAGCAACATTCCATTTCCCTGGGTGGAATTTTAAGACCCAGTCTCTTCCTCTCCCCCTAAACATCCCAAGTCCTTTTACGTTGTCCCCATTCCCCAGTGGATTCACATCATATCCTCAAGGATGCAGCCTCGTTTTGCCTCTAACCCAAGCAAGGCTTCATGGAAAGTTGTAAGGTCATGAGGAAAAAAAATCTTCATTTAAAGCCCCAAACTATAAATGCTTCTGAAATCTCTGAAAAATTTGTATTTTCTACCCCAGTGCACAATAATGTTAATAAAGTTAATTGAGTTAGTTATACATAAATTTTACTTTTATTATAAAGAAATTAAGAATTGTCTTCTAATTTTCACCTTTTTCATATTCTTGTATATCTGTGCTCTCTAAAATTGGAGTGAATAAACGCCATTCACTTAAAACCTAGTAATCAACAGGAAAAATGATTCTAAAATGCATGCGATGTTTTGGCTATTGTCCTGTTTTGTCCTTGCCAGGTGCTATGTCAGGGTTGTAATATTATGATATATTGCTCATTGTTGCAGTTGCGTTTGTCAGGCTACACCTAGGCTCCATGCTTGAGATGTGTGAACAAAGTAATGAGACAGAGAATCTTTGTTTGTTTTCATGGAGTATTGATCAGATGCACCACTGATTCTATAAAAGAGCAGATTTGATTATTTCATGATGTGTATTTCAGGAGCACATAAATCATATTTTTAATTGAAATTGCTTCAAAAGGGGGCTTTCAATTGCCACCTTTCTATTCTGCCTGGAGAACATTTGTAGGTTTCCAGAGATAATCTTATGAATCTACTCAGAACTGACAAGTTTGTTTGACTTGCTAATTACATATGCAAGTAAGTTCATCAGAGCAAAGCAAAGTCATGCCATCTCTTTAAAAGGCAAATAACCAGGACGTACAGTGTTTTGGCTTTATAGACTGTTAAATTAGTTATATGAAATTAAAGAATTTTAACAATTGTATTGACATTTCCAAAAGTTTGTGCACTCTTGTATATCTGTTTTGACTTTCGTTGCTGTGGAGATGCATTGTCGTGGTGGGAGGTGGGGGCCGGGGTGGTGCATGGCCAGTTCAAGGCATTGTGTCAGGGTGGACTGTCCTGAAAGAAATAGCCAAAGAAAACACAGTGGGAAGCTGCCCATTGTTAGGTACAATGCTGACCACTCACCATAAAGGGCCTCTGCTTTTCTGCCATAGCTCACTCCCCTCCGTTGAGCAGTGACCTTCAGAAGGGTAGGGGCCAAGGGGAAAGCCCTTGGCTACAATTCATTGCTGTCTTCCTAGCATCCACCCCATCCTTCTAATTTTGCAGTCAGTTCCCACCTCTGCCCCATCACTGATCCCTCTTCCCTTCCAGAGGCTCTGCCATGTCTCAGCCTACCCATTACCTGGCATCAGAGACCAGCCCTTGACTCTGTCTTCATGCCTGACAGTTTCCACAGCAGCAGTGGGGAAAATATGTTCTTGGCATCCAGAATGAAACTCTGAATGCGTTCCCCATAGGTGCACTGTAGTCCTGGTGATTAGCCCTATAATACCATCAGTATGGACTAAACGACTTTTTGCAAGCTATTGCAAACTTCGCCATCTGGTATAGACAAATTTCTTGGGACTCTATTTTTGAAATTACAAGGAAAGGGATTGCAATTGTACTTTTGCTATACCCTTCATAATGAAATTGGCACTGGATGAAAATGGTTTTATTTCCTTGCTTGACTTTTTTTTCCAGAAACTGTATAGATTCCAAAATACCAAGTCTTACCTGTACTAACTAATCATCTTTGTATTCAATTTCCAATGATGGAAAAGCATTTTGCATTGTTTAGAAGTTCCATCAGCGAATTAGAGGGAAGGGGGAGGTCTTAAATGCAGAGGTTATATGAACTGATCCTTATTAAGTGAAGAAATTGTTTTCCCGGAAAAAAAGAAAAAATGGCCTATATCATGTCAAATCTGCGGTCTTATTTGAAATAAAAAGCCATGTTCTATTTTTAAAAGAAAGAAGGAACTTGAAATTTGCTTACACTCCTTAGAAATGATACTATAGTCTAAAACAGCCGAAGAGGAAGATTAAGGATGGGATTATGGATCGGACCTGGGTCTCCAGCATTGCAAGCAGATTCTTTACCATCTGAGCCACCAGGGAAACCCATGTATATAATTACCCTCCTTCAAAAAAGGAGTAACTTTGTACTATGGTTGAGGTAACAAGAGAGAACTTGAGTTGCCAAGTCCCTCTCCCTCACCCAACTCACTCTACTTCCCCCTGTCCCCTCTCAAACACACATACTAGAAAACAGTAATACTCTTAAACTCTTCTGTACTTCTTTTCATCCCCAAAGTGAATATGAAATTTGATTAAAGAAAATTTGCTTACAAAGGAAATGGGCAAACTGTTGCAAAGATCCCATCTAAAAAGAAAGAAAATAAAAACGACATTTTCTCGTACAAAGTATAACTAAATAATGAGGCCAGGAATTCCTTTCTCCATCTCTTGCAGTGTCAGCCAGCTTAGCAGCACCAGTTTAAACACTGTATCTTCTCTTTGTTCTTCTGCTGTGCATTGCTGTGATGGCAAAGATAACTAGCCCTCAGAGATCATGTGAGATCAGGTTAAATTCTACATTGTATGAGAGTTATTAATATTTTACACACTGCCTACCCTTCAAGCTTTGAGTATTACATCACTATTTATGCAACAGAACTTGTTACTGATTGGAAGGTTTTGAGTGTTCGAGCATCCTATTAATATAGGAGGAGATATATTAATGCAATTAACATGTACCAAAAGGAAGACTTCTAAATTACTTCAAATGTTTCCAACATTGTCTGATCCAAAAATAAGTACTTGATTAACTAATTTGTCTTGTAAGAAATGTCTCTATGTAGGTCAGGATGAGATCATTTGGGAAAAGAAAAATCTACTCTTTGGAGAACTTTTACACCACAAAAAAAAAAAAAGAAAAAAATCTCATTTAAGAGCTGGAGTCGAATTATATGGTCATTTTAGTTCTCAGAATTCAAAGCATAGATGGCTGGAATCATGCGCGTGTGATAATTCTAGGCTACTCTCAATAAATAATACATGTCATTTCTGCTTCACTGAGGCTGTCACTTACTGCTCTAAATGACTTTCAATGCAGGGCCCAGCCTGCTGTCCCAGAGTGCACTTCAGCTCAATTCCAAACCTGAAGGGTCCTTCCAGTATCCAGCCAGCTACCATAGCAACCAGACCCTGGCTCTGGGTGAGACAGCCCCGTCGCAGCTCCCCGCCCGCAGCACACAAGCCCGAGGTGCGGGCCAGAGTTTCAGCCAGGTACGTGCTGGGGATGGGATGCTCTGCGGTGTTGATCCTTGGGCTCCAAGGGGTCAAGCGGGAAGCAGGGCTGTCAAATGGCTATGGTGTCCCCTCCTGCCTTTTTTACGAGTGCCCTGCAACTTTGGAGAGATGCTCTCGGTGCTGTGAGTGAAGGAAATGAATAACACGATACGATTATAGAATAACTCGAATTACAAGCATCTTTTTTGTGGGATATATCTGTCAATTGCTCATGCTCTTTCTGCTTTAAATACACTTACCTAGGTGAATATGCAAATGTATGTCTAGTTCCTATTTCTGTGTTATATGACGTGCATGATGAGTTTGTGAGGGTACCTGAAACACATTCTCTCTCCTTAAAAAAAAAAGTGTGAAATTATTCTTTGGGGTTAATCATATAAAGGAACATAGTATAAATGCATCATCACATATACATATACAGAACTGTCCTGAAAGTAATTGTGGTTGAGTTGGAATAGTTACACTTTGTCAAGTTTGATTTTGAAATGGGCCCTCAGTCGTTTCCTTAAGATGCGTACTTGCTCTTGTGGTTTTAATGTACACATTTATTAGCTGCAGTTAAAAATCAACTCTTGGTAAAAAGAAGTGGCTACCAACCCCAATTAAGAAAAAAATTGTTGTAAATGTTGTGATATATACATGTGTGTGTATTTATGTGTGTGTGTGTATTTATGTGTGTGTGTGTATTTATCTGTGTGTGTGTACTACCTAATACTTTAGTTTTGATCATTTTGGGGTGCAGACTATATTTGGTCAACCACCAGAATTAATATACTGAAGGGCTATCTTGTTTTAAGCTACTTTATACTTATTTTTTAGTATAAAGGGACATGAGACCCTCTTAATCTCTGTGCATCATTCCTGGAATGAAGAACTACAACCCCAAAAGCACCCCTTAAACTGACAAGTTTAATTTCATCCTTTTTGCATTTATTGGGCAGTTCCTCTGCCAGAAATCCTTGCCCAGGCACACTACCTACTCCAAGCTCCTGCATCAACCAAACCCATCTCTGTCACCAATTCATTGCTATTAGGCATCCATGTATCTTCCCAACAAAACTGAAAACCACTCGAGGGCAGGGCTATTTTCATTTTTTATCACCATCCACATGACCACCAAGAAATGTCTGCTGGCAGAGAGGAGGCAAGGCAAGTTAGAATGGCATCATGCAGTCATCCTGAGATGCTTTTTTGAGGGGATAGTACATAAATGAAGCATAAGCTGAGAAGTCCCAATGCGTTTCAATTATTTTAAAGTTAAATGATTGTCCCAGCTATCCATTATCTATGATTGTCTTTTTCAGGCCAAACCTTTGCCCATCAGTGACAGTGTAACTTTTACCTTCTTGTGATGTCAAGGTGATGTGGATGAAGTGGAATGGTAAATAAAGCATTCCGCTGTGAGGGGCCCGTTGCCCCAGGGGAGTCCAGGGTGTGACTCTGGTTCAAAACTCTGGTGGTGTGTGATGCTCAGGAAGGAAAGGGCCTTGAATTCATTGCATCCAGTCCCGCACACACAGACTAACCCTGGAACCGTGCTGGTTCCCGGCTCCTGGGTCACTGCTGTTGAAAACACTGGTCTGTCCTAGCTCCCTTACAGAAATCTGATAAGACACAAGAGGGAATGTCTGAAAAATAGTTTTTTAATTAATTAGAAAAAATTATTTTATATACTTTCATTTATCATACATGCAAAATAGTTCTTATTTGCTTATGTAAAAACATTATATAATGTTTGAAGTATTGAGTGACGTTATTAGCATAGAAAATGTTATTAGATCTTTTTTAGTCTCATTTTTTTTTATTAAAATATGAAGCTATAGGATTCTTTTCTCTAGGTACAGATTTTTTTCCCTCTAAATAGAATCCCATTCTTGAACTCTCTTTTAATCTTCCCATCTATACTGACCTCTCTCTGACCATGATATACTGATCATGGTGGGATATATGTAATTTTGAATTCTTCGGGAGTAAATAAATGATTACAGACCTTTTTTTTTTTTTTTTTTCCTTTTCTCCTTGTTGGTGATCCATTTTATTTTTATTTATTTTTTTTTACTTTTTATTAGTTGGAGGCTAATTACTTTACAATATTGTAGTGGTTTTTGTCATACATTGACATGAATCAGCCATGGAGTTACATGTATTCCCCATCCCGATCCCCCCTCCCACCTCCCTCTCCACCCGATCCCTCTGGGTCTTCCCAGTGCACCAGGCCCGAGCACTTGTCTCATGCATCCAACCTGGGCTGGTGATCTGTTTCACCCTAGATAATATACATGTTTCGATGCTGTTCTCTTGAAACATCCCACCCTCGCCTTCTCCCACAGAGTCCAAAAGTCTGTTCTATACATCTGTGTCTCTTTTTCTGTTTTGCATATAGGGTTATCATTACCATCTTTCTAAATTCCATATATATGCATTAGTATACTGTAATGGTCTTTATCCTTCTGGCTTACTTCACTCTGTATAATGGGCTCCAGTTTCCTCCATCTCATTAGAACTGATTCAAATGAATTCTTTTTAATGGCTGAGTAATATTCCATCGTGTATATGTACCACAGCTTCCTTATCCATTCATCTGCTGATGGGCATCTAGGTTGCTTCCATGTCCTGGCTATGATAAACAGTGCTGCGATGAACATTGGGGTGCACGTGTCTCTTTCAGATCTGGTTTCCTCGATTACAGACCTTTTTTAACCCTTCTGTCTATCCACACTTCTAGGTCTAACGAGGCAGAAATAGTCATAAATAAGGGATAATTTATATTCAGATTAACTTATGAAAGCTCTGAATTCAGCCTTTGTCAGTTTCCTAGAACTTATAAGACATGTAGCTAGTAAAGCAATAAAGTTCTACCTCTCTTTTATTTTTATCTTAAACTCATTTAATACTCATGCTTGGCTTCCTCTCATAAATATTTAAGACCCCTGTAATTTGAGTTAAAACATTAAGTCAAATGAAAAAAAATCACATTTCCCATAGCTGAGCATCATGGAAAATGGAAAAATCAGTATCAAGAGAAAAATCAGTTCATTATCAGCTTAATGTGTGAGTATCTTATGCACTCAGTTCATACATAGCTCTGTGAGGGCTATTAAACCAAAGCTTTCTTATTTATAAAATCAATAGTTACCATTTACTGAGACCCGGAAGTAATCTGTTTTACATACATCCTCTTATTTAATCCCAACCACATTTACATTTTAAATTTAAATTATCATTTACATCTTAAATATGCAGAAACTCAAACTCAGTGCATTTAGAAGAGTTGCCAGGCACCATTTTAAGGTAGCAGCAGTAAGAATGGGAACAGAATCTTGACTGAATTGAAGCCTAATCATTTTGAGGGAGTGTTTCATAGGTTTCCTTTTATATATTGACTGTTTCAATTAAATGTATCTACAGCTTGATCCTAGTAAGAACTCTATACATGTAGAGCAGCAATATGCTGATTTATCTTCCACGTTGGCGTTCTACTTGTTGGAGTTAATTCTATCATCCACCAGTTGCCATGGGAGTAAAACAGCAGCTCAAAGGACAGATTGGGCCTCACATTAAAAGTCTGCTTTAAAGTTTAATCAGAAACTGTAACTAGGTTGTGAAGATATCAAAGCTGTGCATTTGAAGGCATCTATCAATGTGCATATTCAAGGTGATAACTTCAGTTAGAGTCATAGGTTACTGGTCTGCACTCATTTATCTGACCAGTGGGTGGTTGCAGCCTGAATATTCTAACAAGGGGGTTGTTCTAATCCACTTGGTTAACAGGATGGAGGCTAGATTCCTGAATCCTATTTATTTTAGCAGAGCATCACATCTGGGTACCATGATTCACTCTCAGCTTCAGCATGCTGCAATATGAAAGGCATGTTTTAGCGTGATTTCACAATCATGTCAGAGAAATGTTGAACAAGTAGACCAGTACTTTTACTCAGCATTTAGTGTGCTTCCCTTGAAATAAGGAGGTCACATGTCATCCCCATAACATCTCCTTTGCTCAACTTGTCCCGAGAATCCCCGTCTTCCAGTCGTTTCCCAGAGCCCTGTGACACATTCTTTTCAATATTCTAAATAGTGTTCAAGCTCACTTCTGCCAAGCTATATTAAATCTTAGAATATCCTGTCATCATCAAGTGCCAAAAGGGCTATGAAAGTTCAAATAATGGCTCACAGATACCAGACAAGGTTAATAAGGTCAGTAACCAAGTAACACAAAAACATTTCACTTTAGGGAACCTAAAAAAAATGTGTAATTCTAAAGTAAAGCAAATGGTTTTCTATCTGGCTCATAAATCATGTCAGAGTATAATTTCAAAGGAGTACCACAAATATTCAAAGATTTGGGTGTCAGCTTTTAACCAATACTAGTTTATTCAGCATGATAAATGTTTGTGGGGTTATCATCACCAGGCTTCATATCAGGCCCTGGTGCATGGTCTGCATTACCGTACTGGGTCAAGCTGAGTCGCAAAATTACCAGAGAATTCTAGTTCTCTGGCGTGACCCTAACTGAAGTCTTTGAAGTCATTCTCCTCAGACTCTAAGATGAATTCACGGGACTCAGCTGGAGGAGAGAGTATAAGACCCTTCCCATCAGATCCCAGTGCCTTTCTGGAAAGTCACTAGAGCTGATTCAGTTATCCTTTGCCCCACCACCGTGTTCCACTTAGCTATCCTGCCAGCTCCCCTTCTCATCCAGGTGTGCAGACTATCACTCCATCCCTCCCTTCTTCCTCCAAGTCAACCTTAGCCTTCATGTAGCTCCTGGTAGGTGCCCCCAATCAAAATAGAGCTGTTTTTTCCGTTGCATTTATATATATATATATATAGGCTATTCTTTGATGCCTTCGAGATGTCATGTGTGTTTACTGTGTGCTGAGCTGTATATTCGCTTACCATGGAGAAGAGAACAGACATGGTCCCTGTCCTCAAGGCCTGTCTATTCCAGCAGCAGCGATGGGAGCGCAGAAAAT